ATGATGACCACTTGTATACTTAATCCTGAATTGTATCCAACATCTTTATAATAATAAATATATATATATATATATATATATATATATATACACACACACATATATTTAAAAAATTCAAACTCAATCTTTATATCTTAAACATAAGAAAAAAATTTCCTCCACTTTGAGAAATGCCCCTTCACCCTCCAATATGGTTTTGGGTTGCCAATTCACTAAATACCTATCCTCTGGTCACATGACTCAGGCTCAGCCAATCACAGTCTCCTATTTCCCAGGCCACACCGATTGGCTTAGGAATGACACACAACTCTAGTCAAACCAAGTATAGTCTTCCAAAAAAAAAAATTAAACTAAAAACCACAGACCATTCTCCCCTCATGGGCCATGCATGCCTCATTGTCTTCTTGCTTGGCCGTGGGTGGTCCCAGAGTCAGCACAGTGGGGCAAGGGTCTCTTAAGCCATGTGCTTCCTCCTTTGCAGCCCTGGTAACCATGGTGCAGAAGGGGCAACTCCAGTTGTTCATCTTTGCCCGGGGGAGAGAGAGACTCGTGGCCATGTTCACACCAAGTTTCATTCCTCCCTGTTCTCGCCACGTCTCTTCTCAGCTCTCCCAGTTTTGGTTTATGTTGTTTGCCTTTTGATTTCTGCACGTCAAGCGTGTTCTAGCCTCTAATCCCTCTTCCCACATTCAAACACACGCACAAGTATCTGCTGCTGACAACTCCAAAGGCTAGAAGTGTTTACTCCGACAGAGGCATTGTGGAGACTCTCCAGGAGAGGAACTCCTTCTGTTTCATGCAGTCCCTTGGCTCTGACCTTCTAGGATGCTTATAGGGGACAGTAGCTTCCATAGCCAGGCGCTCAGGGATGGGATGGGGAGGGTGCACACTCAGCGTTGGCAGGGTAGAAACTGATACAGCTTTTGAAGAGCAGCTTGGCAATCTAACCCGAACTCCTTAAAAATGTACACATTTACCCCAGCAATTCTTACACTTGAGAACACTGCCAGATGTTATCAAAACATGTTATTTAACTTTTTTTTTTTCCTTAGACATGAGGTCTCACTATGTTGCCCAGGCTGTTCTCCAGCTCCTGGCCTCAAGCGATCCTCCTGCTTCAGCCTCCCAAAGTGCTGGGATTACAGGCATGAGCCAGCCCTTAACAATATCTTAAAGGAAGCACATTATTAACAATAAGTAAAAACTAGAAATAAAGGCAATGTCCGGCAGTAAGGGATTAATTAAATAACATATGGTCCCCATGCAATGGAATACCGTGCAGTATGAAAAAAGTCAGGCTATTGAAAATTAAATAACTTGGGAAAATACTCACAACATAGGCATCAAGTGGAAAAAAGTAGATTATAAGAAACATGCATAGTATAAGCCCCATTTAAAAGAAACATATTTGAATATGCACATAGATTAAAACTTAAAAAGATATCAAGATATTAAGTGTTATTGCACATTCAATAAAAATCACAGGGATTTCATTTGCTTCCTTCTGCTTTTTGCTTCTTTGATGGAAGTGTATGAACTGAAACCACTCAACCTGGATTTAAATCCCAGGCTGTACTAGCTATGTGACTTTGCATAAATTACTTAACTTCTCCGTGTCTCACTTGCACCCTTAAATGTAAGATAGATGTAAATGTAAAATGGCAGTGATGATGATAAGGATAGTACCTGCCTTCTGTGGTTGTTATAAAGAGTGAGTGAGTACATACATGTAAAGTACTTAGAGTAGTGTACATAAGTACATACTTGATACATTTTACTTATTATTTTCAAAATTTGTGCAGGTAAATGTTTAATGGTTTTAGCCTTAAGAAAAAATATGCGATAATTTGTTTTACACAAAGAAAAGGGATCAGATGCTTGCAAGAAGACCAGAATAGTAAAAGAGAAAAGTAGGCTGGGCACCGTGGCTCACACCTATAATCCCAGCACTCTGGGAGGCCGAGGCAGGAGAATTGCTTGAGGCCAGGAGTTCGAGATCAGTCCAGGCAACACATCGACACCCTGTCTCTACAAAAAAAAAAATTAACCAGGTATTACATGCCTATAGTCCCAGCTACTCAGTAGGCTGAGACAGCTTGAACCCAGGAGTTTAAGGCTGCGGTGAGCCATGATTGTGCCACTGCACTCCAGCCTGGGTGACAGAGTGAGACCTCGACTTAAAATAAATAAATAAAAGTAAATGAGTAAATGCCATTCTGAAAACCACCCACCATCTGCCCCCAAAGTTAATCCTCAGGACAGAAAGTGGGGAACTATTTTTGTAATTTACAGACCAAATTCACTTTGGTCCAAATTTCCTAGAAAGTTAAGGGGAAAATAACTTCTAATTAAATCATCTAGGTCGAAGGTCATTGGTCTTGTAGGTGGTTCCTTGCCTTCTGGCTGGTCTTCTGGAGTGGGGAGGGTGGGAGAGGGTCTGGGTGCAGGGTGGGAGAGGATGATTGGAGGTGCGCCAGAGTGTCACCATGAAGGTGGTCCCCTGTCCCTGCACATTTCCAGTTTTGATGCATCTGCTAGAGTGTTGAGACCACTGCTCCTTTTCTAGATGTTCATTCAGTACCTGCTATGGGCAAGTGCTAAGGGGCATGGTCTTTTAATTATATAGTAACAATTGCTTCAATTGTCCAATAATGATAGCCATGAATGATCAACCACCTCCTACATGCAGGTGCTTTGTGCTAAAAACACTTGCCATGAATGATCTCACTTAGTGTTTACAGTCACCTGTAGGGTCAGCGCTGGCGGCATCCTAAGTCTCATGTCGTGGATGAGGAACTCGAGCACAGAGAGTTGACCTGCTTGGCCACAGGGTCAGAAAGCTTACACGGTGTGGGTGGGTTTTGAATCCCAGGCCACCTGGTCTAGGTCATAATGTTTAACACTATCCTGTTCTGCCTCCTCTGGCTTCCTTGGGTTCTCGAACTCAGAAGAGTCCAGTGTCTTCAAGAGCACTCCAAGCTGGGCTCAGTGGCTCAGCCTGCAATCCCGCGCCTTTGGAGGCTGAGGTGAGTGGATTGCCTGAGTCCGCGGGTTCGAGACCCGCCTCGACAACTTGGCAAGACCTCATCTCTACAATAAATAAAAAAATCAGCCGGGCGTGGTAGCACACACCTGTAGTTCCAGCTACTTGGAAGGCTGAGGCGGAAGGATCGCCGGAGCCCAGCAGGTCGAGGCTGCGATGGCCGGGAGCGGCCACTGCACTCTGGGCGACAGAGTGAGACTCCAACTCGAAAAAAAAAAAAGAGCACTCGAAACATTTTTTTTCTCCTGCTTCTGAGACCTCCTACCTGTTTACCATTGCTTACATCCCAGGAGAAGAAGTCCATTTAACGACCTCATTCTGCCATATGGATTTGGGAAGCTTTTTTTTTTTTTTTTTTTTTAAGAATATACACTTTTAAAACTTATTTTTATTTTTAATTAGCAGATAAAGATTTTATATATTTATTGTGTACAACATGTTTTGAAATATGTGTGCCGCCGGGCTCAGTGGCTCAGCCTGTAATCCCAGCATTTTGGGAGGCTGAGGTGAGTGGATTACCTGAGCCCGAGGGTTCGAGACCCGCCTGGGCAATTTGGCGAGACCTCATCTCCACAATAATTCAAAAAATGAGCCGAGCGTGGTAGCGTGCGCCTGTAGTTCCAGCTACTTGGAAGGCTGAGGCGGAAGGATCGCTGGAGCCCAGCAGGTCGAGGCTGTGGTGGCCGGGAGCGGCCACTGCACTCCAGTCTGGGCGACAGAGTGAGACTCCAACTCAAAAAAGAAATATGTGTGCCTTGTAGAATGGCTCAATCAGACTAATGAACGTACCTTTTTTGAATAGCTTGAAGGCAATTCCTTTGACATGTTAGTGAATTTCCTTAGTTATTTGCCTACCTCTACAGACTCCAGAGACCCTGATGATCTCACATAGCCATTTCTGAGGAAGCACTTTTTTTTTCTTGTGCTGGTGGTTCTTGGGTGGCGGCGGCGGTGGTGGTGGTGGTAGGAAGCACATTTTTTAAAGATTTTAAAAAAATTATGGCAAAATACACATAACATAAAATTTGCCATCTTATTCATTTGTAAGCGTATGGTTCAGGAGTATTAGGTTATTCACACTGTTGTACAACCAATCTCCAGAACTCTACTCATCCTGAAAAACCATAACTCTGTGCCTGTTTACCACCAGCCGCTCATTCCCCATTTCCTCCAGCCTCTAGCAATCACCCGTCTGCTTTGTGTCTCTGTGCATCTGACCACCCTAGGTATCTCACACTTGTGGAATCCTATAGTATTTGTCTTTTTGCGATGGGCTTTAACTTAGCATAATGTCCTCAAAATTCATCCATGTTGTAGCGTATGTCAGACTTTCCTTCCTTTTAGGGCTGAATATTTCATTGCATGTATATGCCACATTGTGTTTATCCATTCCTCTGTTGATGGACACTGGGTTGCCTTCATCTTTTGTTTGTTGTGAATAACAATGCTGTGAATGTGAGTGTCTTAATCTGTGACAGCTGCTATAACAGAATACCTTAGACCTAAGTGGCTTATAAACAGACATTTATTTCTTACAGCCTGGGAAGTCCAACATCAAGACACTAGCAGATTCATTGTGTGTCGAGAGCCCACTTAATAGATGGCTGTCTAGATAAGGGCACTAATCCCATTCCTGAGGACTCTGTTCCCATGACCTAATTGCTTCCCAAAGGCCCCACCTCCAAATACCATCACATTTGGGGGAAGTACAAACACGTGGGCTATAGTATTGGGTGCACAGATACCTCTTTTAACTCTTCGGGGTATATTCCAAGAAGTGGTATTGCTGGATCACATGGTAACTCCAGGTTTAAATTTTCAAGGAACCACCATACCATGCCCCATAGTGACCTCTCATGTGTTTTGCCAGCAGTGCACGAGGATTCCGGCATTGCAGTAGAGGTGCCTTTCGGGCCTTTGCCGCACTAATTCCCCTCTCCTTTATTTTGGAGCACAGGTCAGTCCATCGTGGGCTGTAAGGCCATCCTCATCGATGACCAGGTCTTTGTGGTGGTGGCCCAGCTCTTCGGTGGCTCTCACATTTACAAATACGACGAGAGCTGGACCAAGTTCGTCAAATTCCAAGACATAGAAGTGTCTCGCATCTCCAAGCCCAATGACATCGAGCTGTTTCAGATCGAGGACGAGACGTTCTTCGTCATCGCGGACAGCTCTAAAGCCGGGCTGTCGACAGTGTACAAGTGGAATAGCAAAGGATTCTACTCTTACCAGTCTCTGCACGAGTGGTTCAGGGATACAGACGCCGAATTTGTGGATATCGATGGGAAGTCGCATCTCATCCTGTCCAGCCGCTCCCAAGTCCCCATCATCCTCCAGTGGAATAAAAGCTCTAAGAAGTTCGTCCCCCACGGCGACATCCCCAACATGGAGGATGTGCTGGCTGTGAAGAGTTTCCGCATGCAGAACACCCTCTACCTCTCCCTCACCCGCTTCATCGGGGACTCCAGGGTCATGAGGTGGAACAACAAGCAGTTCGTGGAGATCCAGGCTCTTCCGTCCCGGGGCGCCATGACCCTGCAGCCCTTTTCTTTCAAGGATAATCACTACCTGGCCCTGGGAAGTGATTACACCTTCTCCCAGATATACCAGTGGGATAAAGAGAAGCAGCTGTTCAAAAAGTTTAAGGAGATCTACGTGCAGGCGCCTCGTTCGTTCACCGCCGTCTCCACCGACAGGAGAGATTTCTTTTTCGCATCCAGTTTCAAAGGGAAAACAAAGATTTTTGAACATATCATTGTTGACTTAAGTTTGTGAATTTTAAAGACATGTAGCATTAGCTCTCACGAGAGAGGACCCAGAAGAAAAATATACAGATACATAAAAGCCAGGCACAGAGCTCTGAAATTTACAATGCATTGGGGAAATAGTTAGAAGTTTTCAAACTTTAGAACTCACATTTTAATCAGGGATTGCATTTATTGGCTAACTGCATGACGTGCCCATTCTGCCATTTAAGGAGACATCTTACAGCCTGTACCTTCTGAGAAAAGAGTATGGCATTTACCCTTTACCGTCTAGAAAAGTAATATGCTTTTTTTTTTCCTTTTTAATGAGGAGGGAGAAAATTGGATAAGATGGGACCACTCTTATAATGAAATAAAACCAACTGTGGGCCCTTCTTACTCCATTTTAGTGATCTTTTTGGTAAGAGCGCTAAAAGCCCAAGTCAGCTGAAAAGATTCACTGATGATTAGTTTAAAAATCTTCTAACACTCAGCAGTGCTATTTTGATCCCTCTCGGTTTCCTGAGAGTAATGCCCAGCCCTCCCGAATCCTCCTTCCTGGCAGACCTTGTCTGTTTCATAGGCTCATGAGGGTTGCTTGGCATGGGCATGTTAGTTAACAGTGTAGTGTTTGACATTGCTTCCTCTGCCACAAAGAAAATGTTCTGGTGACACATGTGTAGGCCCTGCACAGGCTATAGGCTAGGAGTGAGACAAAGGAGCTTTTCCCTGTTTCTTGCAGTTCAAAGCTGACCCTCGTGGTGGCCAGAGCAATAATGCTTGTTTGATGCTCTTCATGCTTCAGCGAACCCATCCTTTGAGCTTGTGGGTAGCCTGCAGACAGGCCAAAGACTGAATGGTGCTTTTCATTTCGCCTTTTAGTGGGATGAAACAGGTATTTCCATCTGATGAGTGTTTGGTAGCATTTTTGAAGTGAGATTTTATGGAGTCAGAGGGGACTTTACACAGATCTGGATGCTCTTTGAAACCTAGAGGTGGCCCTTTGATTTGTGTATGTCCTTGCCCTCTGGACAACTTTATATTTCAAGTAATTGAATGCCAATTTACCTACCTGCCCACCTGCCTTCCTCTCTACTCATGTAGCAGTCCTGGTTTGCTGAGTTGCTGATATTGCTACTGCTAGTGTGGAAGCCGTCCTGAAGATGCTGTCCACACCAGGGATACTCCTGGCAGTAACACTCCCCCAGCACTTTAGCAAAGGAACCCCCTGGGGCCCACAGGGGTCATCCTCTACAGGCTGGGGGTCTTGGCTGGTCAGTAGGGACTGGTTGGTTTGATGCTGAGTCCCATATACTGGGTGGCCTAATTCAAAATGGGCCTTTCCAGGGCAGACAACAGGGAAGCTAGTGGGGTCTGGCTGCGTGGAATGTTTCTAGTGGATGTTCTGCCTGGTTTGCTGGTTCTCTGGAGAATTTGAGGGGTGTGCTTTTAGGGGGAGTTGTGAAGGCGTAGCCCGATAACGCCTAGCCACGAAAGCAGTACAGTCATATTGCACTGTATTAAGTTGTTTTGATGATGATTTGCCATGTCATGAGTAGGTAGCTGTTTTGCCACAAATGTGAATGTGTTTAAGCAATGCAGACTGAAGCAATAAACAGCACTCAGAGAATGATGCATCGATGTTACATCAGCACTCTTGGGTACATTCTGGGACTGCAGGCTGAGACTCCCAGCCTAGGAAACGAGGGATTTTAATGAACGAACTCACCCACATGCAGTAGTGTGGTTGTTGGAAACTTTTACTAAATACCAAGTTCACAGGAGAGAAGTGGTTTGTTTTCATTTTTAAAGTACAAATTGCTCTTTCTTCTGCCTCCTTGGATGGTGTGAATGTGCTGCAATTGCCCAGATCCCCACATTGGAGGCTGAAAGGGAGCAGTTTTGCCATTCTTCCAGCTGTAAAGGTGGGCAGGCTGTTCTTTCTGGTGCATGGAACCCCTCAGACAACCCAGGCAGTAAAACGGGCAATTGGCAAACAGAGTAGGAGATATTTAGACAGTCCCAGCACCTGTGCCAGTTTGAAGTGACGTTACCAGTTCCTGCCACCTGTAGGGAAGGTAACCAGGGCGTCCTTTCCCAGTGCTGCCACTGCAGCATGGCACCAAGGTCCCCGCTGTACCTGCAGGGATGAATTAGGGACTGGCCACCCGCACTCACCACTCTGGTCACCATTGCCTAGGTTCTGAAGAACCAGGAAGCACAGGGTGCCAAGACTTGGAATGGGGGGATGTCGAGTCCAGATGGGACACTAGGGAGTGAAAGAAAAATCTAAACAGATGATAAATGGGGTGTGAGAGAGAGGTGATCCCTCAGCTGCAATCAGGTTTTCCTTTCTTTGATTTTTCCTTTATTTTCTTCAAGACTAGAGCCTGCAATCTACAGAATGCTGTGCTGTGGGAGGAGACATTTGTTCTGGCTAACTTAACTAAAGGAGCATCGATGTTCTTGGCACGAGGTGGTGGAAGCTTTGCTTCATTAATCTTACTGCTCCATCCCAAGAATCCCTGAAGTTTTAAACAATTTCTGTAAGGAGCTTTCTTCCAGTAAAAACGTCAAACAAAAAACGAAACAATAACCAAAACCCAAGTCAGAGAAACTGGCGGACTGTCGTCGCCTGTGGAAATCAGCTCTGGAGGGTGAGGGGCTCTTGTTCCTCCCTTTTCTCTCATCACCCATTGGGTGGTTACCTGCTTGGCTTGTTTCTTCTCTGTCATCTCTGTAGCTGGGCTCCTGGACTGATCCCTCCCTTGGTGCAGCTGTGTGGCTTTAAGGCCCTCTCTGAAAGGGATGGTATTGTCCCCTGATTCCACAGCATCATGAATAGGTCTGTTATCAAGACTCTAAAAACAGACCTTAGGTATGAAGAGCACTGTGCTCTCGGGCAGTGGACAATCAGACCACCTTGCATTTCAGCAAAGCTTTGCATTTTTTGAATGTACATCAGTGCTCATTTCATTTGTTCGTAAGTAGTTCTGCAGTTGATTGGAGGGCAGATAGTATTCTTTTTTTAATAGAGGAGGAAATGGACGCAATATCTAAATAGGCTGTCTGCCCACAGTTATCCAGGAGGGAGTGGGAAATCTAGACATTTCCCTCTGATCAGCAGGCATCGTATTTTCTTTCTATGGCACTCTGCTATACCCTCCCGAGGAAAGACTTTCTTTTTTTTTTAACCATGATTTTGACTATAACAGCACTTTAAGATAAAATAAAAAGTGTAACCAAATACCCATAACCAGAAGGAAACTCATGCTGAATAGACAGCCTCCAACCCACTGGTCCATTCAACAATGGACAGACATCATGGAACTGCTGTTGCAGGCAGGGCCCCGCTCTTGAAAGTCTTCCCGAAAGCTCAGATAGCTTTCTGCTGTTCTAAAGAGGATTTCTAGCTGCTGTGGCTGTTTCACCCCCCACGTAGCCAGGAGAGGGCTGCTAAGGTTGAGATACATCTGGTTCTTGTCCCAGTGTCCCTTTGATAAACACGAAGAGTTCTGTGAAGGCAAAAATTAAAGCCTGGATGCACGAGTAGTGATGAATTGCTCCTGGCCATCCACAGCCTTCTGGGAGCATGCTGGAAATGGCAGTGTTGCATTTTTCTTCCCCATGGAACGAGAGGCTGTGTATTTTTAGGAAAGAAGTCAGCATGGAAGACAGGAGGTTTGGTGGCCGGAGCATTCACGATGGAAATGTCTCCAGGCTGGCATCATGAAGGAGAGATGGGGGGACCTGCGGAGGGGAGTCTGTTTGCATGCCGCCTAAAGAAAATCTCTTTAGCTGGCTTCCGATTCTTCCGCAGAGGTCTCTCCCCTCGCTCACAGCTGCAGAAGAAAGTTCTTTAATTAGGCAACTGCTAAAGATTCTTCTGTTCAAGAGTATCCTAGAGTGGAATGCTGTAATCTAGTTGTTGATCCAGTAAGAAAGTGGTCCTGTCTTGGGGGTCAATGAAAAGAGAAGGGACAGAAAAGTGGAGCAGATGGCTCTGGAAGAAACTCTTTAGAAAGAGTAGAACTAAAGTGGAGGAGAAGAAAAAGTGATAATGATGTCCTTTGCCTCTACAAGGCAAGCAGAGGATACGATGACTGGGCAATTAAACAGCATCCCAATTTCTAAAGAAGACAGCCAGTGGTAGGGCTAACTCAAGTAAGAAGGGTATTGTAAAGCTACTGAGATCTGAGCCGAGACACTCTTATCCTTACTGTATTTCATTGCTTGTATCAACGTCTACTTTTTTCCTAGTAGGAAGCTATGCATTCTCTCTTGATCCTTTTGACTATCAGGAATGTATAAGAATTGTGATAAAATAGGCCAGTATGCCATTTGGTACCATTTTTATGTATTTTAAATGCATAACTTAGGTAAAATAAGAATAGTGTATATATATATATATATGGAAGTAAGTTTTGCAGTATACAGACTACAATGGATGCATTTTAGGTTGTATGAATATTTAGCTCCTTTGGTAAATAGATTTAACCAACAATATGCCTCAATATATTCTGTAAGTCTATGAATAAAAAGTGGTTCATGCCTAATATGGCTTTGATCTCTGGTTTGCTTGAATGTGGATATGTCCGCTTGAGTCATAGACTTGAAGGGACACCCATGATGGGCTGCTGAGGGACAGCAGTGTCTTTGTGGCTCACTCCCTGTTTGAATGGAACGTGGGCACCACAAGGTCTTTTGATTCTTTTACTTGGAAACTAAAACAATCACTAAAAAAGTGGCCAGGCATATGATTCATGTTTGTAATCCCCACTTTTTGAGAGGCCAGGACAGGAGGGTTGAGACCAGACTGGGCAACATAGCAAGACTCTGTTTCTACAAAAAAAAAAAAAAGGAAAAATAAAACATTTAACCAGGCATGGTGGTACATGCCTATAGTCCCAGATGCTTAGGAGGTTCATGTGGGAAGATTGCTTGAAGCCAGAAGGTTGAGGCTATAGTGAGCTATGATCTCACCACTGCACTCTAGACTGAGTGACAGAGTGAGACCCTGTCTCTAAGAAAAAATAAAATAAAATCACTGAAGAACTTTACAGTGATATCTTTACCTGATCTGTGGAATTATAATCCTGACCAATTGGCAAAGAACTCTAGGAATCTTTGGAAATCTTCTGATTCTACCTGGTAAGAAGAAGGTGAGATTCAAGACTTCATTGGTTGGGTTGAACCATGAACTCCTTGAGTGTCAGACTTTTGACTTGTTCTCTGTGAGTCTGGAATCTAGCCTGTCACATAGTAGGTGTGCAGCAATTGGTTGCCACATGTATCTTAATTTAAAGCCTATTTGGTTTAGTTGGACACATGAAGGATCAGAAACCCAAATCACATAAAACTGTACTTAGAATGTGTCAAGTACTTTGGCATATTATGGGGCACGTTAAAATGTTCAAGAGCAGAGTTCTGGCCCTTGTGAGATCTAATTAAGAGGGAAAGTCATACATGCACAAAGCTAGTCAAGAAGGCAAGGTCTTCTACAAGATACAATTCTATATCCCACAACTGTGTGTGACTGTGCAATGAGTGAAACAGAGATGATAACCAAATATCCCCTCACCTTTGCCCTATTCTAATGATTTGGAACAGGTCACAGGTTCTGTCTCAAGGGAGGGGATTATACAATAGTATAACTCCTTGGGTGGTGCAAGGTACCAACAGGTGCCAACCAGACAGAATGAACAGATACTGATCATGGAATCAGAATGGATCAGGTCAGCATAGATACTGACCACACGTACCCATTCACCTGGACCCAATGCATTTGAGTGGAAAAAGAACTGTGAACTCAGATAATAAACTCATAAGAGGAAAAGTTACCTCAGGCCAAGGGAAGTAAGTACCCTTTTGACTAGCAAGGAAAGGAAAAAGGCCTTGTTTCTTTTCATTATTGCTTTATCATTCAATCATTGCTTTGTGTGTGTGGAGAATTGCAGAAAAGAACAAATTTTTTTCAGAACTGCAAGCTGGAAACTCATTAAGGCAGAGACGAATCCTAATATCCCAATGCATTTCATCTTGGGACTAAAGTGCTCTGTGTACATTGCCTGGCCCTGACCATGTACCCATTAGCAAGGCAAGTACTCTTATTTTCTGTTTTTCAGAGAGCAAAGTGAGGA